CTAGCACTGACACTATACAGGCTGCTACTAACACATGCTGACACGGCTTCCTAAAAGAGCTCGGCAAACGACAGGGTACTTTCACACAACTAAAGCGGCAACACCACTAGGCCACCCATTGGCTAACAAGGACAGTGATGGTGTTTGGGTATTGAAGCAAACTTCAGCTTCGGTGGTTAACTCTACACTAGTAACGGATGTTTGTTTGCGCCTACTCACATACCGTCGAATCAAAGAATCCGTATCAGGGGATTGTATCTATCCAATCTTTGCGCGAAAACCTGTGTGGGATGACCAGTTGATGTCCAATGACGGATATGTCACTACGTCTCATACCAGGTTTAGCAAATATGCGACTGGATTGACTTACATGTCGCCAAAAGATTAATTTAACTCATATTCTCCTTCTGCATAGTTCAATATTATTGAAGCAAACTCGTGCAGGTGATGTTGTGGTTGCGTGCAGTATGTGTCACGATATGAGTTGGGCGCATTTTCGCAGTTGTTACGCTCCCCTTCTCAATTTTGTGTTTGATTTTGTACTATCTAAACGATGAACCGATACGTTCCCAACGACTGCGTCTGGTTTGATTTTTCTGGTACTATTACTGCACTGCTACTTGCATATTCATTGGCTTGTAGTTTTCCAAAGTATGTGGCAAAGATCTGTCTATTGGTGTTGAATGCATCAAGTCTTAGACCTACACCAAGTATAAGAGAAGTACGTACGATTGCCTGCTGAAAATAACTAGATAGTGCGATTCGTTGAATATTGTCTGTTCATGAGTTTTTGAATATGATATGCTTGGTTAATATAGCCCCTCAACTAAAACCGATACTACGAATCTGATTAACTCTGATAGAAGCCTGAACACATGTATTATGACCATTATTGTACTTCGGGGACAGTAGCTAATGACGACCATCTGGGTGAGAGATGAAAATGCTACAAATGTACACAAACCATAATTACCCTGCATCGTATTGAAGCAGCAGCTCTTGAAAAAACATAGCCCTAGAGACTCTAGTTAAAACCTTTTTGAGAACAACATCTTTGGTACAAAAGCACATCAAACTGATCCCCCGCGTGATTTGCACGCAAACCCCTGTACGCAAGCGCGCAGGACGCACACGCAGCCACAGACAGCATTTTCCTACAAAATCCAAAACTTTTCGGAGATGCCAGAAGCCAGGTTTGGATCCTTGGATTTTTGGAATTTTGGATTTGTGGATTACCATGAGAATCCAAATATCCAAAATTGGTTCTGGCATCTCCGCGAAAATATTGGATTTTTGGCTTTCGCGGGAATGGAGCCCAGAACACAGTTTGCTCTTTCGGTTGAAGACATTCGAAGTCAATAAGCTAGCACCAGGCCAGGCATGCGAAAGTCAGTGACTTTCCCTATCTTTCCCTGAACGCGAGACAGAAATGTGGGCACATTGGGGGGGG